TTTACGCTTTTACCCAATGTACTTCTAGAGAGAATATTTTTTTTTTTGCTCAGCCACCTACTTCTCGTACTAATTGTAATGCTTATTTTTACTTAAATGGCGTCAGTCCTAGCGAGTATCTTAGTTTATTACAACACCTCAACTCTCTATACTACTTTTTAAGTCATCAGGTCATATCTAACAATTTCTTGTATTGATTATAAACATTTTTTTAAACAAATCTACTGAAAAGAATTCTCCTTTGATACTGATTTTATTACAAAACAAAATGGAATGGATTTCACTTTGAATCAAGCACAAATATTGAAGATCTACATGATGGATATTGATTTTGCCTCCTAAATTAACTATAAGTACATAATTATTTTAAATATCTTTATTAAGGCATTAATTCTGTTGCATGTATTTCAACAGCTACTTTGGAGAATATTTGGTAACGAATTCAGAATATGTAATTACGTACAACTGCTCTGGCTCAAGTCTATTGTTGGTTCAATTTACTAGAGGCCATCTCCAAGTCTGACAAAAAAATATTGTTAACGAGGATGACAAATTGTGTTCAATTACACTAATTAAACACATTTACATTTTCTGAGTTAAGCAATTCAAATCAGAACAAATTGTAGCTTAATAAATTGCAGCTAAGCATTAAAATAACATTTGCTGAAAGAGATTGCAAATGTAAAAGTTCAATTCTTTTTCGGCTCTATATCTATCATCTAAATTTTGCCGAAAAAATCTCCCCATAATTGTAAAGTAAATTTCAAATATTTGTACAGCTTATTGCCTGTTTTCTTGCTTTATTTTTTTTGCAATAAAACTCTGACGTAACCCTGGCTTGATATGATGGATTCTCTGGATGTTATGGTGTTTGCATTACTATGATTATGGTAATTACAAACCTGTTCTAAATTAAATAAGTAACCTTGTCATTCTGCTTATTTTGAATTACTTCATTCCCCTGATTATAACTGAAGGTGCTACAACCTGTACTTCATTCTTTAGCAGAATGTATAAGAGTCGCAATATCAAAATATTATTCGCATTGTCGCATTAAAGAGATGGTCAAAATGCTTGAACTTCCTGATCTCAATCCCAAAGTCTCAATGAAAAGAAATTATTTATTTGTGCTTCCTAACTTGAAATAAATAGTTAATTCTCTCAAAGTGTTTCTTAAATAGCTTTGCAGTCTACTTCTGCTATAGCGAATATATGGAGCTATTGCTAATCATAAGTTGTGTTTTCCAAGTCTATTCCATTTGTTTATTTATTAAAACCTTGAATTTTTTGGTTCACCAACTTATTGTACCTGTTAAATAATGCAAGGGACGTAACTTTTTAATAATGTTACTATCAACATCAACATACTTCCTCTAATTTATTAGGTGATCAAAGATATTGTAAACCTACTTGGCTACTCCACCAATTTAATAATAGTTTAGGCAGTACAGAGGGCATTTCCAAGTCTAAGATCTTTTATATTACAAATGCGAATGATGGTGATTAAGATAAAAATGGTTCTAATCATGCAAATCAAGTCTTATCCTTGTAGCAGATGCATATATTATGAAATTTAATTAAAATATTAAATTAACAAGATGAATTTCGAATCAATTGTTCTGCCAAGTTTATTAATGAACTACACACATTGTCATTAATCCCATTGATCCTGTTAGAGAATAACATTGAGGGACTAAGAGGTGGTGAACTTAGAACCCCAATAAAAGAATAATCCTCACAAAAATACAAAATACTTTTTAGAAATTTAAGTTTAACAACCCATATATTATTTGCCTTCAAGAAATCAGAAATCATATTTTTGAAAATTCTCCTAATTATTATTTTTAATTTTTATTATAAATCAATATTCATTAATTTTTTTTAGATTTTTCCTTGTTTCATGCTGTCATATTTCCTTGATCCAAAATGCTTTCTACTTCTGACTCTTTGTATCCAATTCAAGATCAAATTGTGGATTATTAACCTTTTTATATTTATTTGAGATTGTTACTCAATTTACTAACTTCAATTTCCTATTATCAACAATATGAGTTCAAAAAAAGATTAAGGAAAGAAGGATGATCTGCTCTCTGAGAAATAATCAACTAATGGATTGCAATTAAATATCATTTTATTACTCATACTTTAAATCTATTAATACGATTTAACAAATATTGCTATGATTATTTGTAATTTTTAATATTCATAGATTCAATTTCTCCTTACAAATTTCTAATATAAAATATTTCAGAATACCCTTTAAATATATTGTATAAGAATCATATGGATCAATCGATAATGATTTATCATAATAAATCAGAGCTTCTTTATATTATCATTAATCTCTTAATATAAAATGATTTTTATTTACTTTAAACTTTTTCCTGAAATAATAATGATTCGATACCTTTGTTTAAAGAGAGAATGTATTTTTGGGATTAATGGAGAGTGCTTAATCCAATAAAGATTCATTATATTTTTTCAAAATTCTTAAACATTCACCTATCAAATTAATAATAATTCGATTTACCTTTCTCACTTAAGGAAAAATAATGATTTAGATTAATAGCTAATTCTTTATCCAGCCAACTGATTGAATCTTCACATTAATTTAACAATCTTATATCTACAATAATAATAAAAAGTTATTAAACATAGATATTAATTATATTTTGATTCATCTACCTTTTTAATATAAGGAATTAATATGCTTCGGATCGATAGCTAATGTTTTGGCCATCCAAGTGATTGCATATTCATATTTTT